TGTATATATATATAACATTTCTGTCCCCCTCACTTCTGAAATGATGGCTACGCCCCTGGCGCAGGGTAGCGCAGGCATTTGACGCGGAGTAAGGGTTTGAATATTCATGATCGTAACTTCCACTTTCTATTACTGTGAATGCACAGCTAAGGGAAAGAACGGGGGGAAATGGTATGGTGGGGTGTGGGGCCTTGGAGATAATTGGCCCCGGGGCCTCTGCAAGTCATAATCCGTCCCTGCCTATGCAGGAGGCCCATATCTCAAACAACTAGAGCACCAGGGTTTGGATATGACTTCACTGACAATGTAGCCTATCATTAATGCAACAAAAGAACTCATTAACTTCATTCAAACAGAATTTGAAACAAATGATTTGTGTCATTATTTAGTTTAGTTTAGGGTTTTTTAGGCTTGCTTGGCCTCTCTCCAGTTAATTTGATGTAACAATGCTTCTCATAATAGAATGAATTACTGCACTGAATAATCAATAATCCACGTGCAATGAATGTTACGAACAATCTTCTAAAAATACTAGGCTACTACAATAACTCTAAATTACTTAAAACCATCACAGACCATTTGTTTCTTTGTTTGCTTGCTGTGCGGGAATTCATTTTGGAAAAGAAAAAAAAAGATTAACAACAGCAACAGTGTCTAAATTGATTTTTCCCTTGGGTTTTCTCAAAGTGGAGACATCTTTATCAGCCGATGCAATGTGCATTTACAATAGTATTTCTATTGTCTGAGAGAAACATACTGAGGACGACAGGTCACATATGGAGCAAACATGTTTTAGGTTTGGATATTTAAAAACTAAAAAATGTAAAAAGTTCGTTATGACCAGCGTCTTGCCTGGTTTTGACACATTGCCTAGTTAATGAGTTCACATTTTTATACCATTTCTAATCACTTCAAATCATTGCAAGATAAGCATATTTCGCTTGCTGTTAAACTCTATTTCTAACTATTTAACTAATAAAAATTATTTAATATTTACTCATTTAAATCGATATAATAGGCTACAACATAATTTGCACTTCGATTGACAAGATTAGATGAACACACTCCTGTCAAACAACAAATGCCAAATTAGGGATGCACCGAAATTTCGGCGAAAGAGAAAAACGGCCGAAAATATATGGCGCGCCGCACCGCCCGGCAGAGTTCAGCGCGCAGGTTTCACTCTCCCTCTACTGTAGCCGTCGTCACTGCGCGGTGTGACGCCCCGCTCAATATTCCGCTCTATGAATGTGCGTTTTGCTCATGTACCGCTCATGCTCACTGGAAACGCAAAGTCCGCTCAATTAAAGCGCAGACAGGAAATTTCTATGTATACTTGTTCCTGTTTGCAATAGCGCTACTGTGTTGTAACAAGGTGTAGGCTAGTACAGCTGTACTTTGCAACGCTGGTAAAATGAGCTACCCTCTCATTCAATGATCTGCTTCCCGCTATGTTCTGCTCACATGCTCTGATAATGGATAATACTGAATAAAAATAATATATTGATATTTAATATTAATATATTTTCTGTCCAATTTTTTTTGTTACTTTCAATAAAAGTGTGATTATTTAATTGGCTTGTGTTTTTTTTAATTCAGTATCATTAAAATTGTTGAGTTAAATTAAAAAGTCTTACAAAATTACTTTATATTATTTAATAAAATAATAAATAATTATTACAAAGCATTTTCGGTTTTCGGCCAAGTGCATCCAGAATTTTTCGGTTTCGGCCCAGAATTTTCATTTCAGTGCATCCCTAGCCAAAATGTATAATAAAGAAAAAAAATTTTTTTTTTTAAATGTCATTTAAAATAACTCTCCTGGGGAAAATAAAGTTAAAATAAGAAGTGACTCATCCTGAACTCACTCATTTTGTCCAATCAAAAGCTCTCTAGAATGACCATGTCCCGCCCCTACTTCTGACTAGCACTAGCTACATTCATGGCTGTGATGTAAACAAATGGCTACTAGCTATTAAAAAAGGGACAAGCCCTTCAACAATTCAATACAAAATGTATCAGCACAGGAAGAAAAAAAAAGAGAAAAACCTTCGAATATATTTTGTGGATCTGTAGGTAAAAAAGAGTGAACATTTATATAATATTTTGAAACATTTAGATTTAGTGTATGTAGGTCTACATAGGCTACTATAAGGCCTATACATGTTAATGATACATTTTCACGTAAAATACTAAGGCTAAATGTATAAATGAATACTTATCCAATATGCATATTGGTGAAAAGTCCATCAGCCACTTGCCTTCACGTCATGTTGTTTGCTGGAAAAAATTACGATAGTGTTCAATCTATCAATTTAGAGGGCGCTGTGAAGACAGGATTTATAAGCACTGCGTCTTTACCCTTTTTTGAGACCTGTAGTGTTATGAGCTGGACCAGGTGATCTCTTTGTTTGATGACAGAAGATTGATAAAAATACATAAATTAAAAAAAGCACAATATGTGTGCTCCCCTAATCAGTCATAACGTAGGACTTTACCAGGTGCCACGTGATCTTAATTAGTTCTGCTTTGTTCGTCACCTTGCATAATTAAATATTTAGAGAGGACTTCTGATTTAATATTTAAGTTTAGACATTATGTTTCATCTTTATGTTGGGTTAAATGTTTAACCCAACCTTCTGGGAAGTTTCATTTAACTCAACTATACTGATTAAAAAATACTATAAATGAACCCAAAATAGGTTGGAAATTAACATGTATTTATATGTTCAATAAATGAACATTTATTAATAAGTTCAATAATTAATAATCAAATAATAAACATTTTAATTGCTTATTAATAAATGTTCACCTTTTGATTATTGCTGATTCCTCTAGTAATTATGTGTCTGATTTAAAATTTACAACCTATCTTGGGCTTATTTTAAACCAGTCATATAGTAATTTTTAAACAATAGTTAAGTTAAATAAAACTACCCAGAAGGTTGGGTAAAACATTTAACCCAACCACTGGGGTTGTCCATATTTTACCCAGCGCTGTGTTGTATTTAACCCAGCATTTTTTAGAGTGTATACATTTTTAAACTTTATTTAATAATATTTTATATGCAAGAATTATCTATACTTTAGATGTACCTGTATAGTTCATCCAAATGTATAAAATCTGGCATTAAAAACAGCACAACTAATTTTAACTAGTTTGAGTATGGAGCACATGTAGTTATTTTCAGTATATTTTGTTGTAGATTCAGTGCATTCTTCCATCTGTTTGCATGTGTTGTGTGATATGAGAATTTTCATTTGTTTCGCACTTAATGTCATGTTATGAGTAATAGTAATTCTGCTTGTTATATGGAGATGATGCCACACCAGCTAATTAATAATATTGCGGCCTGGTCAAACTTAATTTCCTCTAACCTTATTTGTATATATTATAATAGTCTAATTTTCTATTATTGTCATCGTTCGTATTATTTGTAGCAAAAAAAGAAAAAAGAAAAAAAAAGAGTTTGAAAGTTACATTTAAATAATACCATATTTTTACACATATTTTGAACAAAGCATATATTATTGTCACCAAACAATGCAAATGCCAAGCTGCAGTGTTTCATCAGGCAAGACTTTTGACATTATCTGGCTCTGCTTTGTCACCAGGGTGTCAGATCATGAATAATTAAATCACTACTTTGTGATAATACATAATTCAACATCAATTATTAATGCTAATGTGTGTGCAGTTTACTCAATTGTGTTATTGACTATCAAAAGTAATTTCCTGAAAATTCTCAAGGACGAGAATTTAATAAGTCCAACTTCTTTTCAAAGGTAGCAGTGAAGTGTTCTTAAACTATGTTGCTTTTCCAATATTGCTAAGTGTTTCTTTGAAAACCAGTACTCACGTTTCCTTTTAATAACCTATTTGATGGTTCGTATGCCCCTAAATGCCTTTTCCTCATAATATAATAGCACTGACGATCTAAAACATTGTGGTTTTGTTTGTATTTTTCAGTATAAAAGAAAATTAAAAGAATTGAGAAAGTCATGATGTACTTTAAGGTAAATAAATAATAAGACCAACCACTGCTTCCATTTTTGCAGCTCTACCGCTTGTGAACTAATTAATAATTGATCATAGCCAGATGGTATGAGCAATAGGCAACAGGAGATGTACATGATTGCCTACATGTTTAATTGTTTTATAGAACATGTCAAAACAGGACCAGTGTCTGAAATCTTGCAGTCTATCATGGATGTACAGATGTGATGACAAGAGAGATTACCATCACATCAGCATGAATAAGAGTTACCCGGATCATATAATAAAACATGACAGACCACTTAATATACAGTTCTGTCCTTGATATTATCTTACATATATTATTTCACAATAGTACATTTATATTTCAGCATGGCATATATCTTGACACAATGCAGAATGTCAGTCACCACCTGACTTCACAGTACACAAGTCAAACATCCAAGTGGATTGTGAAAAATTAAATAAGTTCACATTGGCAACCAGGGAGTTTTCTTTTAGTGGACTTCCTAATGAGAGCAGAAGAGTGTGTCATAATGTGGCTGTCATTTTTGTCAAAATTGAGTTATTCACATATTCTTATTCTGTGACACAATATGTTGTAGTTTCATCCACATCAGTTGCAGTAACAAAAAAAATCAAAAATATCAAACCTATCTGACACGTTTCCATGATGACATCCAGTAGATCCTGGATCTTACCTTTTAAAGTTGCCACTTGTGAAAGGGCTTGTGCGTAAGTGGCTGTGTTCAGCAGAGTCCCAGGCAGACAAGATGGGAAAAAAGGTCCACCTGAACCCACCACTCTGTTAATACTGCGGATAAAGGAAAGAATTTGGCATTATATCCCTTGACAAAAACAAACATATATCCATGTGGACATTTAATTTGATGATCCACACACTTGTGCTGTAGTTCCATTGGTTCTTTCTTATTTCTGCCGTGGTCAACAGGAGACTGGTTGAGGTTTCGTGCAGGAGGGATGCCGTCACTCATTTGTTCTTTGCTTCCCTCCTGGTCTGAAGTTCCTCTCTCTGTTTTTCTCCACTTTGCCCTTCGATTTTGGAACCACACCTAAAGAGAAAGCACAGTATAAAAAAACTGAGTAATAATGAGTAATATTCTCTCTCAGTTTGATTAAAAATAAAAATTCTGTTTTGTCTTTTTTGTTTTGTCACCTGTGAATTGATTTATTCTGCGGAAAGGAGATGTTAGCCATCTTTTGCCTAACATCTGTGTTCCACAGAAGAAAAAAAGTCATACAGCATGAGGGTGAATAAATTACAGAATTTTAATTTTTGGGGTGAAACCCACCTCTGCTGAAACCCAATATAAAATGTCACTTGTTAAGTAGCAGTTGCATAAATATTAGAATGATTATTTGCACCCAGTGCTGATTTCCGAAATGTGCTGCAGAATCTAACAAGCCAGTGACTTATTTGAAACTTCACGAACACAATTGCTGAGCATATGCAGTGAAGTTCTTGTATGTTAATTGAATGAAGGTCATTGCCTATAACAACATTTAATTGAGCAATTTTTCATTATCATTTTTTAATGACTTCCTACTGACAGTCTCCCTGCTTCTGAGAGAGAACCATGATGAAGTCGTTTATTTCTCTATTTAGTGATTGTTTGACAACATCAGATTCGATTAAGTCTGTGCTCTCTAAGGAATTAATCATATTTGAATGGGAAAGGTTGCATAATGCATCCATATCTCCAGCGCCTGGCCAGCATTGTGCAACGGTACAATGATGCGAACAAACAAAACGCCACACACATATAGCTGCTCTCTCCACATAATATGAAACAACAGTTTACTGGCAGGACAACAATATTCACAATGTAATTGTGGCAACATTATCTCACCCTTGCACCTTCCAGCTAGAAGTCATGATCCCCCAGCACTGAATGCTCCATAATTGCACCATTAATCTCAATTTGCAGTTTGTTCTTAATGCAGCACAAGCCAATTGACACTTTAAAAACGGTGGGCGCCCACTATACTACAACAAAAAGAAAATTTATTTCCTAATAATAATGTAAGTTTAATATCCCTGCATGCTGCGACCGATTCATGTTCAGATTTAATAATGGGAATCGGGTAATCCGATTAGAGAGAAATAATTTGTTTACAATCCCTAATTTACAGCAGCGAATTCCATTATCGCGTCGCAGTCATTGGTTTTAAGCGATAGTAAGATGACCCTGGGGAACAAAAGGGAAACTATTATATTTCCCACAATTAGATCGGAGCTCAGAAGGAAACCCAAAAGCAAATCTGGAATGCAGGAAATTACATACAGACACATTGAATGCAATTACATGTGGCCAATTTAATATTACCGCGGATGTTTTGCAAGGCCGCAGAATATGAATTCGGAGGTTTCAGGTGCACGGGCGCTTTATAACCGAGCAAAATCGTTCTCGGGACGTTTGTCTTGTTCGAAAAGCACCGCATCCTCTCTCCATTTGCTGAAACACGGAAATGGCAGTGCATCTAAGCAATTTTTATACCTTAGAGACGAGGGCAAATGAGTGTAGAACATTACCACTAGTTAATTATGAATGACCGATTAATCAACCTAATCTAATATTCTACATTATGTTGATGTTATTAAAGCGCATCACGGAAATGACAGAGTGGCTTCATTTACTTTCTTTGGCCAAACGTGCTCGGTGCGCATTTTGCGTGATCTATTCGTTACATCTCTGGATCAGGACAGTTGTGGAAAATGTCTCACCTGGACACGAGCCTCTGTTAGGTTGATTTTCATAGCCAGCTCTTCTCTCGTAAACACGTCTGGATAGTGGGTCTGTGCAAAAACCGCCTCCAAAGCCTCCAACTGTAAAACATATTTTACATATTCATTTCTTGAATTTATGCATTATAATTCA